TTCCCCCATGGGAGGCCTCTCTCTCCCTGGGGAGCAGAAAGGGGATGAGATAGGATATTGATGGGGGCAGGGGAGGAGGGGAGGGAGAGGAAACTGGGGTTGACATGTAAAACAATGTTGTCTCTAATTTAAATTTAAAAATGGAAAAAAAATAAAAACCTCCCTCTCCTCCGATATAGGACCAGAGCACTCGGCACACTTGGCACACACAACTCAAGTCCTCTTCTAACCCAGCACCGGGTCAAGCACAAGCATTTTCTCCAGACATTGAAAATAGAGAAGGTTGGGGAGGAGCTGGGAGGAGCTGGGGGAGGGGAACTCATAATCAGAAGATACCATATGAAAAAAAATCTATTTTCAATTTTTAAAAAGATAGAAAAAATACCCACTCAATAAACATGGGCTAGAATATTTAACTATTTCTCTAATGTTAATCACTAAGTATTATCATGGTGGGCGGGAGATGCTATTATAAGCAACGCCCTGCTGGGTCACGTTGGCCTTAGATCTTTGCACATCAGATCCACTCCCTAGATTCTGAGACGGCACACTCAGGGTTTGAGTGCAGAGTGGGCTGGTTGTGTCCTTCCCACCAGCTCTGAGTGGGCAGAGAGTGGAGAGAGGCCTTGGAGCATTCAGCACTTACGTGAAATCCTAGCAGGTCCCACTCACTTCTCACTAACACAGAGGCGGAGCCAGAGGGACCGCCCACTTTCTCATGCTACAAAAATGCCATGTTCTTCCCTCCGCAGCCTCAGGGAGAAACGTGCTGACCTTCTTGAGAACAGGGCTGTCCTGGCGTAAAACACTTCCAATGTCTTAGTGAAGGAGAATGTAGCAGGGTGAGAAAGGCTTAAAGGAAGGGAGAGCAACAGAAATGCATTGCCATGGGGGAGCCCTTGGCACCCGCACGGCACAATCATCCATCCTGAAACCTGAACTAGACGGGATTACTGGTAGCTGACCTTTCTCCCGGGAAATGGAAGTAATAGAAGCTCGGGGCCAAGATGCAGTGACTGGAGAGGGTGGTTTTAAATACACAGGGTAACGCGTGACACATTGCGTGTGCCCCGTGAATAAACATTTAGTCCACACATAAGAAGCTGGGCCTGTGGTTCTCCTCTTCACAGGATCTCTGGCCAACATCAACTCTGGCCCTGCACTGCGCTGAACCTGGCACCACCCTCTACAAGAAACAGCCTGTGCACCGGGCAGTGTACCCGTTACCCCCAGGCTACCCACTGCTCCCCCAGCTCCTTTGCTCAGCCTGAGCTGGGACAGTATAAGGGGCGTGGCTTACACAGAAGTTAGAGCTATGTTTGAACTCTGACTTTGGTGCAAGTTTCTTAGCAATGTGGCTGACCTTTGGTGGTTATTACAGTCTCCACAACTCAGCTGCAAAATCAAGGACGCAGTCCCACTCAGCCTGAGGGCTGTTGAGAAGCCGAGAGGCAATGTACACTTTGTACCTGCTACGCTGGCTCACAGTCCAGGGAGGGGTTAGAGTTGGAATGTGACATAGCCCCTGTTAAATGTTTGGAGCCCAGCAGGTCACGATATTATGGGAGGTGCTAGAAACCCCAGGTGCTAGGTGGGATATCCTTCTGTATGCTGCGAATATGTGTTGCTTTTATTGGTTGATGAATAAAACTGCTTCAGCCAATGGCTAAGCAGAATAAAGCCAGGCAGGAAACCTGAACAGAGACAGAAAGAAGGCAGAGTTGAGGAGGTGCATGTAGCCACTGGAGAGGCAAGACGCAGGGCATCACTGGTAAACCACAGCCACATGGCGATACACAGATTACTAGAAATGGGTTGATCTATAAGAGAGAGAGCTAGCCAGTAATGAACCTAAGCCATTGGCCAAACAATTGTAAATATATATTAAGTCTCTGTGTGGTTATCTTATAACAGGCTGCAGGGACCTGGTAGGCAGAGAGAAACCAGTCAAGTGGGATTGGGCTAGATATAGAAAAGCATTAGGGTTGATCTATAAGAGAGAGAGCTAGCCAGTAATGAGCCTAAGCCATTGGCCAAACAATTGTAAATATGTATTAAGTCTCTGAGTGGTTATCTTATAACAGGCTGCAGGGACCTGGTGGGCAGAGAGAAACCAGTCAAGTGGGATTGGGCTAGATATAGAAAAGCATTCAAACTACCCACGATGGGGCGCAAACCCACAATGCTGAGACACAGTTACTATCCTCTCATACCTTATATTTTTGGCTGTGAGCCTAGCCTTTAACGGCTGAGCCATCTCGCCAACCCTATCCTCTCGTGTCTTAGCTAAAACACTTCAGTACAAGACTTAGGCTCCTCAGGTTCACGGGGGTAGAGCTAATTATCAGCATCCATGGTGGGCACACAGTGAAGCACAATTGCCTGAAATCCTGCTGGAGGTATTCAGTCCCCAGGTAAGCAAGCTCATTCCCTCACGCCGTTCCTGCCTTTGGTGTGGTGGTCCCTGCAGCAGGTACCCACTGACCTGCATAGCTCCTGCCGGTGCTCATGTTGGCTGGCAACAGGGTCCACTTGTCGGTGACAGGGTTGTAGTACTCTACCGAAGCCAGGTTGCAGGAGCCATCGTCCCCTCCAACCACATACAGGAGCCCGTTCACTGCACAGACCCCTGGGAATCAAACGGAAGTCACAGGATCAGTGCAAGTATCAGAGACCGCAACCCGGGCAGCTAGCTGGTCCCCCACCCAGAGGCTCTTGGTGTCCTTCTCCCTCGGGGGTCTGAGTCCTCTCAATGGAGGAGCATGCTGGACTCTGAGGGCCCCTTTCTAGGGAGGCCACTTCTCTCACCAGGGAGCTTTTATTACTATGTCACCTTACAAATGTTCCCGCTGAGCGACTCCCACTGCCACAGGATAGAGGGAACATTTCGGTTCTCTCTGTGGGGGATGCTATAGAGAGATGTCACAGGTGTCCCCTTCAGCCTGAGCTAGGGAAAAGACAAGATTGCCCTGCGTCCCCATTTCCCTGTGCCTTCGTTCTTTTCAGCTGAGCCGAATGCTAGGCCCATCCTATGAGCTGCTAATGGCTGTGCCTGTAACTCCCTCTTAAGAGGGAGCTTGTTTGATGGCAAAGTCTCACAAGGCTGGACAAAAGAGCGGGGGAAAATGTAATTTTTATTCAAGAACTTAAAACTCACAGTCCACTAGATAGTGTTTGTTTGTTTTTTATTTTTCACATAAACTCAAGTTTATTGATGCTGCTTCTTAAAGTAATCACTAGCAATGCTGCCTAAAGATACTCTCAATACAGGTGAGAGCATAGAATGTGCTGCCTTCCTGCCCAGATGGACATAAATGTACATGTTCATAGAATGTACAGGTCATGCCTCAAGACTCTACTTTTGGCCTTTTCCTCTAGAGAAATCATTTTAAGTGTGTACATTGACTTCACTGCAAGGATCATTTACAATAACTACAGCATTACCAGTGGCAAAGAAAAGATGGGATAAATGGAGTATTCCATAATGAATTGGGTAAATTATGATATAGCCGTGTTAAGTGAGAACATGAAGATACGTTTAGGGTTGTAATTAGACGCTGACGAAGAATGGAAAACCAAGTTTGAAAACAGTGCTATGGTAAGATCCATATGCTATTAGAGAACTATCTACATGTGATTGTTTACACATGTCCGTGTTTATAACTTAATTCAAGGGTCTGCCTTACAGGCTCTGTAATTCCTTGTTCCTGTGGCTGAAGGCCAAACGCCAGCGGGTATCACTGCAGGCTCAGGCAGGGAACCAATTGGTAATGCCCCTCTGTTTATGCTTCTGACAAGTCAGCCATGGTGAGTTTAGCAAACAGGTCAAGTGGGAATAAAGGAAGTAAGCCTACCGGGCAGCACATCTTAGTCAGTGAAGCCTGGGAAGGTGGGTGAAGCTAACCAACCCATTCCCAGAGCAGAGAAGCACAAAGCAAGCTCAGCAGTACAGGGCACAACTCAAAGTGGAGTCATGGAAGGGGTCAGCTTGGCAGGGGCTGCCAGGCCCCAGAACACATGACCCTGAGTACTCTGTGACAGGCTGTTCCTTTAGGAAGGACTCAAAGAGCAAAAAGGACATGGGGACAGGGCATACGAGGAAGATAATAAAGGAAGAGGTGACACTGGACCAGTGGGGTAGAGCTTGGCTCTCCTGCCGCCAGGAAGGAACTTGAACCCTGTGAAGTATGAGGATCTTCCAGCCTGACACTGGCAGAGAAAACGAAACAGCACCCCTGTCTGCCTTAGGCCCACATGGCTCTGCACACGGCTACCGGCCTAGCCATCAGGCAGGGACACTGGTGAACCCAGGCACCAACCTCCACTGGAGAGAAGGGACTCTGAGTCTCAGGGTGGGAGGTGTCCTGTGGCCAGCTTTGGGAGTCTGGGTTCTCCCTTCCCCTAACGCTGAACCTCAGAACACAGGCTCAGCTCTAAACTCTGGCAACCCTGTACCTTTCCGGTCCTTCAGAGCAATTACCTCCAGAGAGGGAAGCAGGGCGGCCCTGAGAGCTGAAGGAAGCACGGGGGCCCTGAGAGGAGAAGGAAGCACGGGGACCCTGAGAGGAGAAGGAAGTGCAGCGGCCCTGAGAGGACGAGGAAGCGCGGCCCTGAGAGCTGAAGGAAGCGCGCCCCCCGTGGCATACAGTTGTCCACTGAGCACCCCAACCCCTGAAAGGCAAAGCACAGTGTCACAACCTCAGGCCCTGCTAGAAGAACCCGGAACCAAGAGGCCTGGTGTCCAGCCCTGGACAGCCATCACCAGCAGAGTGACTCGGGGAGCAAGTTCTGTCTCCCTGAACCTCAGTCTCCTCATCTGTAAAGCAAATACGATGATACCCTTCCTGGCTCCCAGTAAGACAGGCGGCCTGGAAACACAGGCATCCAAAGCCAACATGGCCCCATTTCTGCTTTTAAAATGTAAACATGTATGTGTGTATACATATACAGGGGGTGACAAAGGAACAAAAGGATAAAGGAATCCACTAAAGTGTGGAAAGTGGCTAATTCTCCACAGTAAAATGACACCCCGTTTCCGTTTTGCCTTTCCATGCCGCCTCGCTTTCCTTCAGCATCCTATTATTCAGCCTTGTATCCGTTGAGTAAAGAGCCACAGAGCATGGTTGCTGAGGTCACCATTGGGGAGACATCCCTGCCAGCCTGTGCCTTCTCCTTGATGGCAGAAGGCATCAGACATCTCTGGGGAGGAGCTGCCCGGGATGAGCAGTCCATTGCTGTGAGATGAGGAGATACAGGCCCTAAAGGGGAAAGGCCTGGAAGCTGAGACACCTAGACCTGCCTCTCTAACACCCCTCTGGGTAACCCTTTCTCCTCCCTTCCATGGAGAGAAGGAGATGGAATGACTCAGTGGTCCATGGACTACTACTGCCTTCTGTGGTCAGGCTGCAACCTTCTGCTGGGAACCTTCTGGAAAGACGGGACCTTAGTCCCACAGACACTGGTCAGAAGCCCAAAAAAGTGTCTTGATGAATGGGATGTGGGGTCAGGTTGTGGGTCCAGGGGCTGGATCTGGAGGTGCAGACTTCACCAGGTCAAGAACTGCTTATGTCTTGCCCTGGCCTGTTCTCGAGGCTGCTGCTGCTGGGCTCTTGATGTCAAATCCAGTCAGTGGTTATTCTCACAGGTTAGCCAGTGGTTCCTAGCAGTTGCCCTAAACGAGCAGCAGGTGGTGCTGCTGGGCCAACAATGGCTGGCGTCAGGTTGCTGCGGGATTCGGAAAATCCACAGGCTCCACGATGCTTCCTCCAGGGTCAGCAGGAGCTGACACATCCAGGATCACGAGATGGCCTCTACTCCACCACCATGTCTGTCCACCCATCCCTCTGCTAGTGCTGTCTGTCCACTGTTAAGGGAGCCAGCAGCAGTCCAGGCAACTCTTCCACACCCCTCACCCTTTGGCAGCCTGGCCATAGACACCCATGTAGGAGCCACACTGGGCGCAGGCAGCTGGAAAACAGAGCCATTGGTCTCTAGGTCCTTGGCTCTCACAAGCACCCACCATGGCAAGCACACGGCCTCCCCACTCTAGAGATGACAACGCCCACTCTAGGCAGAGCAAAGCTTTGGAGAAAGGAAAGCAAGGACAGGGTTCCATAGTAACCTGAACAAAAACCTCATTCCCAAGCCGAGGTCACTAGGCCTCTCAGAAACATAAGCAGCAGCTAACGTCACCATCTAGGGCCTCCAGCCGAGGATGGGCCAGGTGAGAGCCACCCCAATTAATGACATCAAACAACACCATCTAGGGCCTCCAGCCGAGGATGGGCCAGGTGAGAGCCACCCCAACCACCTTCTGAGCAACTGGTGGGGAAAAGGCATTACCACTACAGGCGTGCCCGAAGGTGCAGAGACTGGAGCCCTGAGCACCACGAGGGTTGCTCTGGTGCACTGTCAGGCTGTCCCTGGCTTCACCATGGGTTATCATCTCAGAGCACTGTGTCAGGCTGTCCCTATATACATGGGCCTTTAGCACTTGCTGTCATGCCCCAAGTCACCATATGGATTTTTAGGAGGTACAAAGAAGATGCCAGAAGCTATAATTACTAAATGACAAGGAAGGGGGAAGATTTATGAATGGAACTGGTCCTTTGAGAACTTGGGCAGCCCCTGTATTGCACGGCTGAGGTATTAAATGTCAAAGGTGGGGCAGGGGGCTGCCCAAGTTGACATGATGAAGTGAAGCACACTTAGCTCTGAGGCTCAGGTTTCTTGACTTCAAGGAATTCATGAGGGGCCCAGTTGTTTGGGTTAGCAGAGATTTCCCCAAAAGAGCTCCCAACACACGCTTATGGAATAGAATCACACAGGCTTTCTACGTCATTGCCCATCAATGAGTATACAAAATTATGTAAAAAAATTAAAACAGCCTAATTTTTACAAAATGCTAAGGCTGTGGATATGTGACATCATAATCCAGCCTCCAAAAGTAGATGGAGGCAGGGGAGAGGAAATGTGGAGAGTGTGTGGTTTCTCGTCTCAGGAATCATGAGGCCTTTCCACCAGCCCCAAACTGAGAACCAGATCAGTTACCAGGAGCCCAAGATCTGTGGCCAAGGCCTCTGCTTGCTCCCCCAGACCTTGGACCCCGGGATAGTGGAGGAGACAAAGGAGAGAGGAGGGGGCTGTGTGGCAGTTCCTGGGTGCCTGGACTTCCCCACACAGCAGAAAAGAAATAGAAAGCCGTTTGGGAGGTCATTTTCTCCTCATGTTGGAGAGGAACAATGGAAAAGTGTGGATAAGGGACCTGGGCTTATCTCCAGGTATAATCACTGTGATGCTGGATTTTAACCCTGAAGACACCAGCGTCAGGCAGGCAAACTGGGCTAAATCCAGGGTGGCAGCACCACCCTCCCTCACAGGGCCGGGGCTCATTGTTAGAGCTCTAAAAGCTTTACCCGGGAGAGAGAATTCTAGCTCTGCAGGCTTCTAATTCTATAACCTTGAGCAAAGTGACCCCTGTGAGGTTGAATCAGTATCAGTGAGCCTTTCAGGGCTGAGGTTAGGAGTAAGTGGACGGCACCGCTGTCATCCCAGGACACAGTGGCTAAGGCAGGAGGTTTTAAGTTTGAGGTCAGCCTGGGTTACAGAATGAGACTCAGAGGAAGGATGGGAGAATATTTGTATCATAACAACACCTGGCACAGTGAGTGGACCTGTACTTTCCAGGGATGGAGACCCACATACAAACAGAATGAATGTTCTGGTGTGGCCTGGGGTATTGGTGAGCTTGAGGCCTGCCTGGGCCATACAACAGTTGTCTAAAACAAACAATAACAGTAGTAATAGAAAGGCACAGAAGACAGCGAGCCTTCAGTGCTGAGCATGGAGTCCCTGGGAAAGCCCCCCCTTGTGTGAGCATAGCTGTAAATGTGGTTGTGGCACTACTTACAGCAAAAGGAAAGGAAGGGGACAAGGGGAGAGAATGCACAGTTCCGCTGTTTGGCTCTAGTCTCAACAGATACAGCGCGTACCCCGAGGCTCTCACGTACCACAATGGCTCTAGTCTCAACAGATACAGCGCGTACCCCGAGGCTCTCACGTACCAGCGCCACTGCGTCGGGTGCTCATGTCTGCCACGTATATCCACTCGTTGGTGGCTGGGTTATACTGCTCCACAGTGCTCAGGCACTGCCTGGAAGCCCCATCGTAACCCCCGACAGCATACAGCTTCCCTGGAATAGACAGAGAGACTAAGGGTGGTGCGGTGACACGGACATCAGCAGCTAGGCTGATGCTCCGATTCAACCAGCTGAGGCACCTTTGCCTCATTCAGAGTTCTGGGCGGACCCAGCTTATTCTCCAAACACAGGGCAAAACTCCCCTCACACTTATGCTTTCCCATCTGCTCTGACGGCATCATCTACCTAGAAGCGATGCCGAAGCTCTTTCTAAAAGGGGGCCAGGTACCCAGTGCGGAACACTCACCTGGCATCGCTGAGGTTCAAAGCAATCTTGCTTGGAGAACTAGGTTAAAGCTGCAAGGCTCTCAGCCATAATCACATACCTAACTTCCTGGCTGTAGGCTCACAGTAATAAGTCAGAAGATCATGGGGGAATAATCTTTCCTGAGAACCCAAGCCTGGCCCTAGTCACACCTCCTGGCTGGTAGAGCAGGTGAAAGACTGGTTCTGAATTCATTCTGGGCAAGGCAGAGGGAATTTTTCTGCAGATCACCTTTGTTCTCTGAGCCATATCAGAACCACAAAGCATTATCAACTCTTTTTTTTTTTTTGTATTTTTATGTGTATTGGAGTTCTGCCTGCATGTATGTCTGTGTGGGGACGCCAGATCCCCTTACAGGCAGGTATGAGCTGCCACGTGGGCGCTGGGAATTGAACCAGGGTCCTCTGGAAGATCAGCCAGTGCTCTCAACTACTGAGCCATCTCTCCAGCCCTTATCAACTGTTTTTAAATAAAAATAGCATTAAGCTCCTATGGAAGGATCATTCACAACTGGGGCTAGAGTCTGGGAATGAGGTGAAAACAGGAAGGGATAAATCTGACCTAAGCGAGAGCAAGGGTTCAAACATATGGGCTTAGCATTTATAGTCTTAGATACAACAGGACAGTCCCTTCTGTGGGGACAGGGAGAGAAGCCCCACTTCACCTAAGGACATCGGATCTACAGGACACCATGACACTAGCAGCAGGCTACAATGGCACTAGCTTCAGGCTAAATGAACACAGACATAGACACCCGTTTATCAGAATTACTTAATCAAGGATGGGCAGGCGACATATGAGTCCCTAATATGAAGGGTACGACTAAGATGCCAAAACCCATGATTACCTTGTTAGCTCCTCAGGCCCAAACAATGCCGTGCCATCAGGGCTGCAGACCCAGCATTCCTACTATTGCTGAATTGTGCTTTTCTCTCTGAGTCTTTTCAACTGACATTTTCCAAAAAGACCTCATCCACAGCTCCTCCCTCACAAAGTTAAAGCTGACAAAGAAATCCACTTAGTAACCTCCCCAGAATCCAGGCCACTAACACTGTGCTGGAATACCACGCGGGGTCAGATGGTCCCGGGCCGCTGACACTGCACTGGCTCAGGCAGTGCCATCTCTGTAACACATCCTCTACTCTGTTGAGCGTATCTATGTACACTCCAACTCACACTGTGCCTTGCCCTTATGCGCGATTCTTCCTGGTGGCAAGTAGCAAACTATCCTGAAATTCTTAAGGGTCATTCAGACTGCATAATCTTGGTTGTAAGATGATGAACCAGTGAAGAAAGCTGACTCTCCTAACCACTGTGAAGCACAGATCAGTCCAGTTCCTCCTCTGCATTCTTAGAAACCCTTTCTGGTGCCCTGAGGCAGCCTGCAGCCCTGGAGCTTCAGGAGCAGGAGGGGCAAGCACTTTGACTGTGCTTCTTTCTGCAAGTAGGCACACCAGCAAAAGCCCTTGTCCCTGGCAGTATAATCTCTACCATCAAGTCACCTCCTCTAAGCCCATCAACCTTGTAGCAGCTAAAGCAAACAGACACTCAAGGTGTGCATTCCTGAGGATCTGCTATTTTTAACCCCTGACATATTGTTTGATGCCCCCTGGCTGAGGAACAAGGGAAAAGAGAAGGTGGCTGGACAAAGCTCTTGGATCTGGCTGGTGAATCAGTTTCTGTCCCACCAAGAGGATGAGACCTTGAGAAACAGTTTATCCTGGAAGAGGGACAGGATTCTGGCCTCACTGAGACAATGTGTTTAACTACACTGGGATAATACGCCTCTAAGTGAAAATTTCAAACTAGTAACAGTGGGACAGGCTGAGGAGTGCCGAGAGAAGAGATGGCCACCATCAATGCCGGTCAATTTTTGTCAACTTGACACAGACTAGAGTCACCCAGGAAGAGGGACCCTCAGCTGAAGGATTGCCTCCATCAGATGTCTGTGGATCATTTTCTTGATTGCAAATTGAGGCAAGAGGGCCCAGCCCACTGTGGGTGGTACCATCCTCAGGAAGGTAATCCCGGGCTGTATATAAGAAAGCCATGGAGAGCAAGCCAGTAAGCAGCACTCCTCTGCGGTCTCAGCTTCAGTTCTTGCCTTGGGTTCCTGTTTGGCTTTCCTTGAGGATGGAAATAAACCCTTTCTTCCCCAAGATGCTTTGGGTCACTGCTTTAGCACAGCAATAGAAAACAAGTTAAGACACCATCTCACTGCATCTTAGGCATGTGTGTGTATGTGTGTGTGTGTCTGTGTGTGTCTGTGTGTGTCTGTGTGTGTATGTGTGTGTGTGTCTGTGTGTGTCTGTGTGTGTCTGTATGTGTGTGTCTGAGTGTCTGTGTCTGTGTCTGTGTCTGTGTGTGTGTCTGTGTCTGTGTGTCTGTGTGTCTGTGTGTGTGTGT